GTATCAATTCTTAAAATGAAATATTTTAAGAAATGATACAATGCATGGTGGCCTTAGAGATCGGGATGTGGGAATCGCATCCTTGGGGGCAGGTCCCGAAACCCGTACGGATCCGCTTCTTGTTTAGTGGAATGATGGCTCTGCACTTTTTTTAGACATATATTTTTACTGCTTCTTGTTTAGTGGTATGATGAGCTGCACACTTTCATTATACAGATATTTCTATTGTGAGTATTTCCTTTTCTACAAAGGGATGATCGGTTTTGGATGTATATCTTCGGACCGTGAGTACTTTTATTTTAAATGCTTTATAAAATTTATATCCTACTGGGCCTTTCGCTCACATTTTTCTGTTTTTAAATGTATTAAACCCCTCCAGGCGACGCGAGGAGTGGTGCGGAATAGGTAGCTATTACCGGTGGTATGGACTTGATCTCGGGAAGCAAAGAGTTGTAACCCTCCTATCTTTTATTTCAAGGCATGTATAAGAGATTATGGTTTGTAAACTTAAATGTTGCTAGATTGTGGTTGATGTCACATTTACTTATGTTTATATTCATGTATGTTAAACACCTGTGGGAATTCCTGACATGATACCAGTGATGTGGTTTTAAAACTGGTTTGGTTGGAAATTCCACCACCGTTCTTGAAATTAAATTTCTCTTGAATGCAGGGGCTCGTTTGGAAATACCTGAATGTTTTGGATTTGAAAGGAATTAAATTATTTTGCTAATCACTCTTTCTCAAACAGGTTTAAGTTTCTAAACGAGCCTCCACATCACCAACCCCGGTTTAGGGGCGTGACAGAATTAAATAAGATTAATGAGAGAGAGAGAGAGAAAGAGAGAGAGTGCTTGGGAAAGGAAAAGAACGGGAGGAAAAGGAAAATGAAAGAAAAGGAAAAAGAAAAGAAAAAGAAAAAGATAAGTGTCCAATATTTAAAATGACAGTCCAGAAAATGTGTCTACACACATTTCTGGGATAAAAATGTAAATACTGAAAGTATTTAAATACCTTGGAATTATTTAAATTTACTCGTCAGAAACATTTAATAACATAATTATTTAATTAAACTAGATTAGACACACTAATTAATCTTAATTACCTCAATTAATCTTGTTTTAATTCTTCGGGGTGTTACAAGTTTAAACTCGAGTTCAAGTTTCCCTTTCAATTCGTTAATAAATAATATTTTTTCTATTTTTAAAAATGTCATAACTTTTTCGTTTTAATTCTGATTGAGATGATTTTTTTTCTATGCATTCACAACGACAAGATGAATAAAACCTTATCCATATATCTTATTAAAATTTTTCATCACTATTGAGTTTTTATTAAAATACTATCTAAACACAAATTTAAGTATTGACCAACCTAAACACAAACTCAAAAAGATTCTCAATTCAAATCATAACTCAAATGTACACATCTAAACACAAACTCAAGTTACAACTTCAACTCAAGTTATAACTCAAATTCAACTTAAAATTATCACTCAAGTTACCTTAACTCAGAAATGTAAAAAAATAATCCTTTAGAGGACGTTTGGTTAATGAATTTAGAATAATGATTTAAAATTATTCTCGATTTACGTATATTTTTTATAAAAAAAATATTATAACAAATTACGAATTATGATTCGAACCATGAAACGAATCCTTAAACCAAACGCACTCGTTACTTTCTTAATAGGCTTAAATTTTTAAACAAGCCTCGTTTTGGGGGCGTGACAGTTTTGGGTTTTGATGGCGTAAGTTATCAATCTATGGCGTCGTCCAGATCGTCGATTCTTCGCTGCATGACGTCCCAATTCACCGCGCAAATCCGACGGAACCGCAGACTCCTCAGCTCAGCTTCTCCCTCCGCTCTTCACGAAGCCTCTTCTCCGTCTCCGTCTTCCTCCGATGCCGTTCATATTACAGAGAATTGTGTTCGGGTACTTTTCCCTCTTCTCCATCATCAATTTCGTGTGATTGGTTTGTTGTTGTATTTAGTAAATTTGAGATCTTTGTGGATGGATTTGCACTTTCTGTGGAGGTTCTATTTGCAATTTTGCCGATTTCGTTTCGTTTGGGTGCGAGGAAAATGGAAGAAAACGGATTTAGGTAAACAAATTATAGGAAAGATGTGAAATTTCGCTTTTTTAGTTCAATTCTTTCTGAAATTTCCTTTTGAGTTGTGCTGGAAAGTTGCAAATAATATGCATAGTAAAACAGATTAAAAACTGGACCTTTTTTTGTTGGCCTAATTTTTACACTTATGATAATGAATAAGGGTTTTTGTTCTGTATGTAATATTGTGAGATTCAAATACACAAATTTCTGTTCATTGAAGTCGAGCATGACCTTCATGATTGCAGTTCTAGTTTCAATTAAGATTTTTTTTTCTTTTTTATTTTTGGCCCAAAACTTGTGTTTTATTATTTATTCATAGTTTTTACTTTTTGTTGTTGTTGAAATTTCATTTCATGTCTTACAGAGAATGAAGGAACTACAAGCTAGTGTAGAATCATCAAATGAGAAGATGCTTCGCTTGAGTGTAGAAACTGGTGGATGCTCTGGTTTCCAATATGTTTTCGATTTGGATGACAAAGCCAACCCAGATGACAGGTATTTTTTTTTTCTTTTGAGGGTGATGACAGGTATTTTAAATTTTAACTTTGAATACGCCTATTTGTCTATTTTGGTTATTGGATTAGAGATCGAGGTATTCGAAATCCTAAAATCTTATTTTGCCTAATTTTCCTCTTCTTCTTCTGTAAATGTCAAAAGGGTTTTTGAGACTGAAGGAGTCAAATTGATTGTGGACAATATTTCATACGATTTTGTAAAAGGGGCAACTGTAGATTATGTTGAGGAGCTTATTCGTTCAGCTTTCGTGGTAAGTCAGTTCATCTTGGTTATCATTTTGTATTTTAGACGTTTTTTTTTTTCATGTAGATACATGAATTGAGATTTAACGGTTGTAAGTAAGTGCTTTCAATGAACTACTTTACTGAGAGAAAAAACATCTCCTGTTAACTAACTGTTGCATTCCGTTTATGCACATTGCCTTGAATCAAGTTAGACCACTGCCAAAATATGACTAGGCAATGCTAATGTAGTGGCCTGCAACTAATAAACTATTGCAGGTATTTTGTGGTTGCTTCATTAGTTTGTTTATGTCTGTAACTGGTTTAGGCTGGAAAGTGGTGATCGTTTTAGACTCTTCATTGGCATTTCCTGGCCTGCAAATGTGCCGTGCCATCGCCCCAGTCAGATTTCATGAGACCAATAAGTGTCATTGCCCTCGGGAAAGAAACAATAATAATACTACTAATAAAAATCATCCGTTTTGTCCTCGACCAGCACATCATTGTTATAATTATCTTTTCAACCAATCACAAGTTCACATGTCAACTGTAGGACCCACTAATTTTGATACAGGATCCCACCTAGGCTTATATGTGAATCTCTATCACAGATATGATTCTGATGAGCTCTCTTCAGAATTTACGCCACAGATCCATCTAGTTTAGATAAAAGTGCCGCTATATTGGGTTGTTGGCAAAATGGAGAAAATCACAGAAACCCTATAGAGGGTCGTAAGTTTCTACCTCCTTGAGGTCACTAATATATATATATATATATATATTTTTTTTTTTTTTCATTTTGCATTGTGGTATTGCGTATTGTTAGCTTACCAATTCCTCCCAAAAGCTTAAGCTATTAGGAGGTGGGCCAACAATAGTTTTTATACCTTAACACTCCCCTTCACGTGTGGGCTGAATAACGGGCAATCGTGTGGGTAAATTAATTAGAAAGCCCAACACGTGAATATTTAAGCTCGATATATATTAAAGACCCAACACATGAATTTAAATGGGGATAAAGAGCGCAATTACGGATGTTAGAATTCAGGACCTCCCGCTCTGATACCATGTGGGAAAATAGGAGAAGAAAAAATATTTCTTATTCTCTGAATTGATTCTATACAGCCGGCCCTCTTAGGGTTTTATACACAAAAGTAGAATCTCCTAGATTACACCTTATCCCATTATTCATGGGATATCAGGAAACTAACTGATTACCTTAATCCTAAGGATACAAAATATAAAATTCAAACTTTCCTAATATATCCTATTTACAAAATCAATAGATTGCGTTTTCCACACGTATGATTTTGTTGGCTCATTTAATTCTTTTTGAAATTGGGGATCATCTTGCATGATTGCCGAAATCTCTGTATAAACTTTTTATGGTTTCATCAACAGGTAACTACAAATCCAAGTGCAGTTGGCGGGTGCAGTTGTAAAAGCTCTTTTATGGTCAAGCAGTAGCTCTGCAAGTAACTGACAATAATAATCTTTTTCAAGCAGCGGTAAGAAGCCATTTAGGTTCAGCTCGACAGGAAAAAATATACCTATTATTTGACATGATTTTTTTTTAGAATAACAGTAACAGAGTCAAAAATCCCATATGCTTATTCATTAACATTGTTATTCATGTGACAAAAGCGGCTTGTATTATACCAACTAGCCGTTGAGATATTTTCATGCTTTTCCTGTTGGTACTTGTCTCATGGTTGAGCTAGCATCCAATTAGATTGAAATTGGGAATTTAGATTATCTACATGTTACTACGCGGGCTCAAGTTAAATGGATTATTTTTTTTTTATTTTTTTTTTTCATTTTTTAATTTTAGAACATTGACAATAGCTTGAGATAAATTTAAATATTTGATAGTTGACATTGGCGACATGCTATTGATAATACCAGTTGGTTGACTTTGTTTGTAATATTGTAAGTAATATCAATATCGTACTCAAATGCGACAGCAAGCCAAAATAAAAAAAATGGGGGTGAAAATACTCTTTTTGGGTCTCAGGTGTGCGTCTATCCCTCTAAGGGGTCATTAGCATTATATCAGGTTGTATGTTTCTCAGTTTTTTATTGAATGCAATTTTCCTTTAAAAAAAATGTCATTCTTAACGTAAGATTGATCAAAGTTACAACTAAAAGAATTTAAGGAAAATGCAACTGGACGCTTTTTTGATGAGTATCTTTGTTAAATGCTAGGAATGCCATCTCTGACTCAATATCTAGCATAAAAGCATGCTTTATCTTCAGGTATAACCGCCTCACCTATATATACACAATCAGAAGGCAAAATGGTTGGACCAATTCTTTAAAAGGAATGAATGTGATTAAAGCTAGAATTTTTGCTAGGAAACATGAAGTATGTGCATGTGAAATTTAGGTCTTAAAGCTAGAATTTTTGCTAGGAAACATGAGTATGTGTGTGAAATTTTGGTCTTAAAGCTAGTTACAAGTTCGTGATTTTGAAACTAACATTCAAAGTAAAGCATAAGCAAGATGCTCAGATGATGATTTCTATAGTGAGAATTTTTGCAAGAATGTTATAGACTAGTATCTTGGGATGGATAAATTTGAGGAAGGACGGCCAATTCCATAGGGAAATTGCATTGGGTGGCCTTTTTTAACCATCTCTCTGTTTATAAATGGCCAAACTTTTTTTATTTTACAAAAATAATCGTTTTGCTTGCATGAATCAATTAGTGATTCATTTATGGACCACAATCAATCAATGATTGACCGATTCATTATTAATTTATTAATAATGTATCATTAATAAACATGTAATTTATTAAATGAAATTGATTAATTACTAATTGATTTTGATTAACTATTAACTAATGTTAATTAATAATAATGAATAATCGAGTTAATCAGTGAAAAATTAGAGTCAATCAATAATTGATTATTGAGTCAATCAATAATTGATGAATAAATTAATGAAAACGATTATTTTTATAATTTTACAAAACTTCAGCTATTTATTAAAAACATCCCTAAAAAAAACCACTGCTTATCTTTACATTGTGCCAACTCTTTAAAAGTGAAACTAAGAAATTGACACTGACTTGACAATTTAATTTATTTGAAGTTCATCGCGAGAGATTATGGTGCTGAGAGTGACGAGTTCTTGTTGACACATCTTCAACTCAGCACTATCCTTAAGTCTTTTTTTTTTTTTTTTTTCTTAAGCGAATGACATGCTTGTTACTAGGGTTAATTAATAGATAATTTTTTTTGATTTTTTACTGACTTGATATAAGAACGAAAACAGTTGTGTACTATGTGTTACAAATTTTTAACATGAAAACTTATAAATTACACAGCTATAGAGTCAGCCCAATAGTCAAACAATTTCGGATAATAAAAGACATTTCTTACTTTAGCAATTTCTAAATTAATAAAATTATTAGTGTATATTTAATATATGAGTTGTGTTATAACATAAATTTATGATTTTAATTCAATTATAATATCTTTTTTCCATAAAAAATTTCAATTTCAAGAGTAATCTTAGGGGCTGTTCGGCAGCCCCATTTTTGAGTTAAAATTAAAAAAAAAAACCACTCGAGTTACAACTTTATTCGAATTTATGTTCTTTTAAGTTTGAACTCGAGTTTGACTCGAGTTGAACTCGAGTTTGGGACTAATTGAGTTCAAGTTTCCATTTCAACTTGAGTTCAGAAACTCAAACTCAAATTAATGAACAATATTTTTTTTCATTCTTAAAAATGCTATAACTTTTTCGTTTTAATTCTGATTGAGATGATTTTTTTTCTATGCGTTGACAACGAAAAGACGAATAAAACTTCACCCATATACCCTATTAAAATTTTGCATCAACATTGAGTTTTTATTAAAATACTATCTAAATACAAATTCAAGTTTTGACTCACTCAAACACAAACTCAAAAAGATTCTTATATCAAACTATAACTCAAATGTATACAACCAAACACAAACTCAAGTTACAACTTTAACTCGAGTTACAACTTCAACTCAAGTTATAACTCAAACTCAACTCAAAATCTACACTCAAGTCACCTAATTCAAAAACAGCAAAAGAACAGCACCTTAGTTTGAATCCGTGAACGACAGAATCGGGTTTTTAGGGGTTGTTCTTTTGCAATGAAACTCAGAAAAAGTTTGAATTCGAGTTACAACTTTATTCAAATTTATGTTCTTTTGTAAAATTTGAGTTTGAACTCGAGTTTAAACTCGAGTTTGAGGCTAAACTCGAGTTCAAGTTTCTCCTTCAACTCGAGTTTATAAACTCGAACTCAAGTTAATTAACAGTATTTTTTCTATTCTTAAAAATTTAATAACTTTTTCATTTTAATTCTGATTGAGATGATTTTTTTCTATGCATTCACAACGAAAAGACAAATAAAACATCACCCATATATCCTATTAAAATTTTTCATCACCATTGAGTTTTTATTAAAATATTATTTAAATTTAAATTTAAATTTTGACCCACATAAACACAAACTCAAATAGATTCTCAATTCAAATCATAACTCAAATATACACATCCAAACACAAACTCAAGTTATAACTTTGGTCTCGTTCATTTCACCGATTCGAGTTTTCAGTTTTAGATTTCTACAGTAAAAAGCTCTTAGAAAATATCACATCTAACTTTTTCTGCTACATTGAAAAGCTCTAAAAAAATATCACATCTCAACTCGAATTAAAAATTCAAATCCACAAAATGAACGAGACCTTTAACTAAATAATAATTCTAACTCAACTCAAAATTTTCACTCAAATCACCGTAAAAGAACGATCCCTTAGAGCCAGTTTAGTTCGCTGATTCGAGTTTTTAATTTGAGTTGAGATGTGATTTTATGTGAGAGCTTTTTACTGTAGTAAAAAAGTTAGATGTGATTATTTGTGAGAGCTTTTTACTGTAGCAAAACTCAAATTCTAAACTCGAATCAGCGAAATGAACGAGGCCTAGTAAGTACTCTAGAAAATCTCGTTAAGCTGAGCAAAATAACTGTATAGTCAGTCCAATTGATGACCGAAGAGATCCAGCCGCCAGAAAGTTAAAGTCCCGAGGACAGCTCGGCGCGTGTTGTGCACTCGTCACCCGCTTCGTCTCCCTGACCTAAAAGAAGAAAAAACACGAAAGGAAAAACCCATCACTCCCTGAATACCGCTCAGGCATACATACATATATATATATACACCCACATATCTGAAGTACCAAATCGGTTGCTCAGAGTCTGCGATTTTTCCTCCTGCGATGGAGTTCGTGGACGGCCGATTCGAGCTGAGGGAGATTCAGAAGCTGGAAGGCCACACCGATAGGGTTTGGAGCCTCGCCTGGAATCCGGCCACCGGAGTCGCCGGTATTCCCTCCGTGTTCGCCTCCTGCAGCGGCGACAAGACCGTCCGTATTTGGGAGCAGAGTCACCCCGCCGCTTCCTGGGAATGCAAGGTTAGTATTTAATTTTGATCCGTGCTCTGTTTGGTTGCCGAGAAATTTGAGTTATTTCGCTGCGTGTTTTTTCGTATTTGTGGTTATGAAGCAGAAACTTGGAGGAAAATGCTTAAAGTATTGAGTCTGAATGCTAAATGTTGTTTTGATTCAAGGATTTTTAGTACAATGAAGCTGGCTTTGGTTCGATTCGATTTTCTTCAGTGAAGTGGAATTGGTTTTGGTTTTGTTTTTCTGAGATTCTTGATTCTTGGGTGTGATTTATGAACTTTGTTTTAGCGGAATGATCATTGTGTTGATCTAGCTTTTGATGAACTGATGCAATAATGCAGGCAGTTCTTGAAGAAACGCACACTAGGACGGTTCGATCGTGCGCTTGGTCACCGTCGGGGAAATTCTTGGCCACTGGAAGCTTTGATGCCACTATTGCTATTTGGGAAAATGTTGGGGGTGATTTTGAATGTGTTTCCACTTTGGAGGTATTGCTAATCCTTGAGATGCAGTTTGTGATTAGTTCGAAAGTTTGATTTTCGTGTTAGTGGTTCTGTATGATCAATTTTCAGTTGTTATAGGGCAATTCGATGTTTTTCAAGAAATATTTTCTTTTCGTTTTGTATTTAGTGTAATTTTTTCTTCATGTTTCTTAACTGCTGCCAATGGTGGTTTTGTCTATAGGGTCATGAAAACGAAGTTAAAAGCGTCTCGTGGAATGCATCTGGGACTTTACTTGCTACTTGTGGTCGAGATAAAACTGTTTGGATTTGGGAAGTACTTCCAGGCAACGAGTTCGAGTGTGCTGCAGTGTTGCAAGGACATACACAAGACGTGAAAATGGTTCAGTGGCATCCAACCGTGGATGTTCTGTTTTCTTGTAGCTATGATAACAGTATTAAGGTAATGTGAAATAACGACCGCATTCTTGTTTCTCTGCGGTCATCTTGCTAAAATGATTGTTAGTTTTTCTGTTTCTGTGGCAACAAGATTTTGTCAGTTTGATTATTCTGATGCATAAACTGTTAGTCTCAGATTTGGGCAGATGAAGGCGATGATGATGATTTTGTGTGCGTTCAAACATTAGATGAACCCAGCAAGTAGATGCCTTGGCTTCATGCTCTTGTTTTTTATCTGCAGTTTCAGCTTTTTTGTTTCATCTGCCTTATTTATTGTCTTCTTCTACTTTAACATTTTCATGAACTATATGCTTGAAATTTATTCCAGTAATGTTACTTGGTATTTTTTTGCCAGTGGTCACACTTCTACTGTTTGGGCTCTCTCGTTCAATTCTAGTGGAGACAAAATGGTTACTTGCAGGTAAGGAAAGTGTCTTTCAATCTTTCAATTTCAAGTTTATTTGGGTATTTCTTCCTAGTACTAAAACACAAGTGTTTCTTAAATAACACGAACACTACAAAAAAGGAAACCTAAAACAGTATTGGAGTGGTTTTGCAGTGATGACCTTACTCTCAAGATATGGGGAACGGACTTGGAAAGGATGCACTCTGGTGATGGTTATGCTCCCTGGTGAGGAAAATGATCACATTTGAAGTATTTTAGTAGTTTCAATAGCATTTATGCGAAGTTTTGCTATGTAAAACTACCATTTAAGATATGTGTTAATTGAAAAGTTTTAAGAAATCTGTTTAGGAGGAAGGCCTGAGTTTCACTTAAATAAAATTTACAAGATCATTATGCAGGAATGGAAAAGAATAACATGTCCTCATAACATATGTCTGCACCAGCATGAAGCTTATGAAAATAGATATTATCCTATTGAACAGTGTTCTTCCAACTATCACTTATAATTTCTGGAGTTTGAAGGGTTTTTTTTTTTTTTTTTTTTTTTTGGAACAAAGAAAAGCGATACGTTTCAAATTTACGCACTCTAATAAAACATTTCCTTGGCTTTTGCAGGAGACATCTTTGTACTATTGCAGGTTATCATGATCGGACAATTTTTTCTGTTCATTGGTCAAGGTATTGACAGTCCATATTGTTGTTTTATCGGTTTTCTTTTTTGCAGGTTTAGTAGACTATAGTTTCCTTTTCCTGAGGTAGATCTCACATGTATTTGAACCGTCAAATCTTTAAATAAACAATTAGAAGTGAAATGAAATACTGAAATTGTTTGGGCTTGTAGTCAACAGTACTCAAGGTAGAATCAAGATGAACTATGGTCTGCAGTTGACTTTCTCATGTTTCATCAGTAGATTGTCGAAAAATAAATGATCTAGACAAAAATTACATGGGCAAATTATCTATTTTTGTTAGTTGCCTTGCCCTCATACTTGCTCCTTCGAATCTGGCTGCCCAAGTTTCTTCTATCTCGATATCTATCTATTTGCTCTTTTCTTTTCTGTTTATTCAGAAAGAAAGTTCCTTTTTCCATGAAACCTCTAATCACAAATGTTAATTTATATGTGAAGGGAAGGTATCATTGCCAGTGGCGCAGCTGATGATGCCATACGATTTTTTGTGGAGGATAATGAAAAGGATGGTTTGGTATATTCTTTATCTTTGTTCATTTATTTGAGTACAACCTTTTCAGTAAATCTGCTTCTAGATATTGCGATGTTGGTTGGTGATGTGGATGATTCTCTTTTTCCATTTTATTTTTTAAAGTAAATACAAAGTTCCCTGAGATGATTAAATTCCAATCTCAATCTGTTCATAAGTAGTTGCTTTTCGGATCTCATAGAATGCTACAGGTGTCTCTTTTCCGTTTGATTAGTTTATTATTTGCTTTTCAAAGTACTGATTAAAATAGCTCTAAAGGTTGATGGACCCAAGTATAAACTTCTGCTGAAGGAGGAAAAAGCTCACGAGATGGATGTGAATTCAGTGCAATGGAGCCCTGGGGTAAGATAACTTTATAGGAATGTTAATACTTCTAATGAGATTTTGATTTCTATCTCGGAACTGAAAGTGTGTTTCCTATATTCCTAAAAAGCTAATTAACTATCCACTTCTTACTGAGCTTGAAATTTTGAATGATAGAAAGCTCTGTATTTCTATTGGTTTTTACTTTTGGCTGCTGCCTCTAGTACTGTTTTTGTACATATGACCATGCCCATTGTTTTTGTCACTGGGTCTGCTCCTACCATCACATTTAGCCACAATAGCCACCACTACGACGTTCAATATTTACCGCCAAAGCAAACTTACACGAATTCCACCATTGTCATTATGACTACCACTTTTTCTGTAATTTTCACCTACCGATTAAGATTGAGGTTACCTTTTCTTTTCTTTTCTCCTCTTTCTCTCTCTCTCTCTCTCTCTCTCTCTCTCTCTCTGTTTTGTTTTTTGTTTCAAAAGTGGGGAATCAAATTCCTCTTATGGTTGAATTAGTCTCCCTCATTGATTGTGGTTTAATTCCTTGGATAAATTACACTTTGCTGTATAAATTTTTCATAACTCCACAAGAGTTTACATTTGAATTCCAACTCTCTAAAAGCGGAATTCCTCTAATTTCATGCTTCCCGAAAATTGGGGGTTCTGCGGGGGCTTATCTAATCACTTTTTTTGTTGCCTGTGTTTACTATCTAGTTTCTCAGTATTCTTGCATTTGGGCATATTTAATGTGTAGAAACTGAAAATTGAAAAGTAAAACTTGAGAGCTTAATTTTATAGAAATCTATGGGCCCGTTTAGTAAACAGGTTCGAAATGTGGTGGTTTGAACTTCCCTGGTTTGAAATAGAAAGTTTGAAACAAATGATTCAAGTTTTGGTTCAAACTATGTGAAAACAAGGGGGGTGTGAACTCGATTTATAGGCATTTTTTGGTTTAAAACATCAAATAACCAAAACTTAAAAAGCTTTACCAAACAGGCTCTATATCTTTTGTAGAACATGTCCTTTGTTTTTTTCTTGCTTCTCTTCTGTTTATGATTTCACCTGTTTGCCCTGATATTTTCCCTTGTATTTTCGTTTTTATTTGTCAGGAGAAACGACTACTTGCTTCTGCGAGTGATGATGGGACGATTAAAATATGGGAGCTGGCATCTGTACCATACTGAAGAAACTTACAAAATTTCCTCATCAACTGTGTAATTGTAGTAGTCCTATTCTATTTTGTTCTCTGCTTTTGACAATCAGCAAAACAAAATATAGTTGGTGGGGTAACTTGTCTCTTGTAAGCGCCAATAACAATTATGTGACAATTTATGAGAACAATGATAGCTAAAGGTTTTAGTCCACAAATTTTTGGTTAATTTACAAGTTGGCATCTGTATGACTATTCGTCTCTCTCTCTCTCTCTGTGATGTAATCTCTATTTCTGTTTTATTAATGTGAAAATATCTTGCAAGTTGGAACCAAGTAACAATATTTGAAAGGATTACAACTTTAAAGCAGCATTATAGTGAACGAAGTTACATGGCCTGGTGATGAGAACCTCGGGGACTTACCATTTTCCTTTCAAGCTTCATCCAGATTACTCTCACAGTCAGCACAGCCCATGGATTTTAGGCCTTAGTTTAAACAATGCCCTCATTATGGCTCCTCACTCGCCGATTTTCGTTTTCTTTTGGTTCGCATTCGATCTATAAGCTTCCCTAAAGGAAATAGAAAGTCAGTTGGGCACTGACTAATTCCAAGTTTCTTTTTCTAAAACATGAGAAAGGGTTGTTAATCTCTACCAAAATCATGAATAAGTTTCAAGAAAATATTGAGGAGTGAAAGAAAAACTAGCTTTGGATCCAGTTGGACAGCCATCATCATAACAATTATGAGACAAAGTCATTGTACATCATCTTTTGAATCTCATGAACAATAAATCCTCGATTTTCACGTACAATATTTAGTATGAAAAATTACCGACACAAAATCTCCAAGAACATATAAGAATACAAGGAGTGTTTAACACCTGTTCTCTATTCTTAGTCGACCGGATGTTGCTCTTCTTCCTTCTTCAACCAAAGCTTCTCTAGCAGACATGATTTCTTTAGGCACAAGACAAGCATCAAACGCAGAACAATCAATCCAATCCTTCAACAGATCCTCCTGACCCCAAATATCCGGAATCCAAACCCGACCCGCCACCTCAATCCGATGTCTCTTCAGCCTCTCTCTCTCATTATCCTCTTCCATTGAAGCCTCACAAGAAGTAGCACTACTCGGTACTTCTTTACAAGGCAAGAATGAAGAAGAAGAAGGAGAATAGGAAGAACATCCCACGTCTTGTAAAGCATTATTTCCTTCAATATTGTCTTCTTGTCGGGTTTTCGGTGATGAAAGCCGTCTTTCGACGTGATCATCACCGGCAGACTTAGTCTCTTCTTGTGATGGTGGAAGTGGAATTCTCTCATCATCATTAAAGGAAGGAATATGATCTGAAGAGACTTGGTGAGCCATTATTGGTAAACTCTTTTCTTCTATCATGCAGTGGAGTGATGAAATGAAAACTACAATGAGAAAAACTTTCGCTTCTATTTTTCTATCTTCTTCTTCTTTCTTCTCTGTTGATCTTGTGTCTTTGTTGTTATCTTTTTGTTGAAAGAAGAAAGGAGGGCTTTTGGTTGGTGCGTGGGGGATTATGATGAGGAAAGGCTTTCTTTTATGTGTGGGAACAAAGCAAAGTTGGGAAATGGGTGGGAAATTAGTTTACACGTCACCCACCGCAAACTGGCTAAGCGCTTTTTGTATGGTAAGTGACAAAGGTACGTGTCCTGTTTAAAGATTTTGGATTCCAATTTGTGTGGCTTGGTTATGTGCTTTGATAATTATTTATTACTACATATGAGAGAGATAGAGAGAGAGAGAGAGGGAGGGAGAGAGAGAGAGAGAGAGAGAGAGAGAGAGAGAGACAGGGAGGGGGAGAGAGAGACAGGGAGCGCCTCAACCTTTGAACTTTCAAGGATTTTTTGGAGGATTGTGAGGTTGACGTTGATTTTGGGTAGGCACAAATAGTGGATTTGGCTTCTGGCCAATGGAATTGAAGAATTTGATATAGAAAAAAGAATGACAACTCTTCACTAGTGTATGAATAAATACTCTACTTGTAGGACACATTTTTACCTATTAATTAAATCATGTCAGAATCATATCATACTAATAAAAATCAACATTTATATTATTTTTAAGTCAACTTTGTCTTAGGACAGAAGAAAAAGCTTAAAACTAACATACAGTTTTGATCCATCAAAATTTGTTAAGTAGTATATATTTTTAAGGAATTTTCTTTATTGATAGTATCTTACTTTTTAGTCATTAAATCTGTATCAAAATCTATCTGTTATGTATACTTTTTTAATCTGGTGTAATTTTAACATGATTTATTGGTAAAAAATTAGGACTACTAATAAGGCGGACTATTAGAGAAACTCCTTATTCTCGTATCCAAAATTTAGGGCTCCTTTAGAAGGTATACTCAAATCATGATTTAAGTTTATTGACGGAAACTTTGCGAGAGAAGAAATTTTAAAATTCAAACTCTTTGTGAGATAAAGAACACTATAACATAATCACGATTTAAATTTAAGTGTAACTTACCAACAACCCTTAATGTCCCCACCATAAAATTCTCCAAATAATTAAAAGGAAAAAAAATGCCAATTGATTATTATTTTCTTATATAAATGTGATGGAGACATGTTTGGGGTATTCAATAGTAGATATTTTTTTTCTTTCTTTTTTCAAATTTTCCGTGTACAGCATTAGTACCATATACTTTTTCTTTTGGTTCTAAACGCCTTGTTTCTTTCTCTGGCCGTCATCCTCTTTCTTTCTCCTTCACACATGGTTTTCATGTAGGTGAACAAATTTAATTCTGTGTTCAAGCCCTCTGTTCTTTCTCTGGCCCTTATCTTCTTCTCTCTCTCTCGGTCACACACGTAAGATTAAGAAGATAGTTTCATGTAGCATCTTAATTACCACGAATTAGTTACTAGCTACCTCATAAGATAAACAAGACACTTTATAGTAGAAATAAACTCGGAAGCTAGTTCCGTAATTAAATGAGACTTTTTTTGATACGACTTATTTACTAATAATGATAATTTTTTACTATTAAATCTGATTGACATCACATCAGACCTACTAAAGATATTTTCTAATTAAATTAGAAAACGCTAAAGTAAGAGATGAAAGTTAGTTTTGTAATTACGTGAATTTTAATAGTGTCTTTTCTTGTTAAGAAGGGAATGAAAACGATGCTTTAACTGCCTTGATGTGAAAATAGAATGAGAAATTCACGGCGAGTTGGCGATCAAATTAGTGTAATACTACTAGCAAAAGTTGATCCCACTCTTACTTTGTCCTATCGAATGGCTCACATGGACATGTTTTTGCATGAAGGCTACGCCACACCTGCAATAGATTTGGTGTTCTTGTTTAGTGTCACATCTAGCTGCTTTACTATGTCTAATCAAATTTTCATCGTTTGATAAACAAACAAACATGAGAAACAAGAGTACTTATGTCTTGTCTTAATTTTGATGGTAATTAATTATGTTAAAAAGACGCTTAACAAGAGGAGGTTTTGCAAGTACACTGAACTTCTCCTACATGTGCAGAATTAGGGGCGGAGCTATCTTAAACCTGAGCAGCTGCGGTCTAATTGCTCCTAATAATCTTACCCAATTAAAAAACTCATTACAATTTCCGCTTATTATTTTCACCCTTAAATTGTTAAAACCATATATAATCTATTTTAATTATATCCGAAATTTTAACCTCTTTTTTTTTTTTTTTTTTTTTTTTTTTTTTTTTTTAAAAAAAAAAAAAAAAAAATTTATTAAAAACACCCAAAATTTTTTTTTTTTTTTTTTTTTTTTTTTTTTTTTTTTTTATAATCAATCAACAATGAGAATTCATTAAAGAGCCACTAAATGGTTAAGATACAAGACAAATCCAAAGCCATAAAAACAGGTGTCACTTACATGACTAGACAATATAAACGCACTCTTAACCCAACAACGAAGATGACTCCTCTAATAAATGGCACCATAACATGATACAGCGACACAGAAAAGACTCAAGATGAGCCCCATCCTAGTCCTAAAATGGACCCAAGCCACACAACACAAACTAAGAGGGGTGGGAAACTACTCTCTAACTGAGATAAAATGTTGGTAGATGGAGAAACCATCAACGTTATTACAACATTAACATAAACAAAAGAACAAAAAAACTGTAAAACCTTTACAAAAATCCCAAAAGACCAACCCAACAAGATGAAGCCCTTCAATGCTGGAAATATGTGAAGCATGGTAGGAGCGGCGTTGCCAAAAAAAAATCACCTGAAACAGCGACAAAAATGTCAGAATTACGCCGACGCATGGATCTCATGCGCCACTGACTGGCGGCACCTGCCACACGTGCCACTCTACCTTCCTTTCATCCCTTCTGCGACCTAGTTCCTAGAGTTTTAATAGAATCCCGTGGCGAACGCGTCCTAGATCTATAGTAGAAGAACGACGACTTCTTCCTCTTGAACGGCTTCATTCAGTGACTACCCACACTTTTGTCAACATGAACTTAACGCCGGTGACCTCTACGATATTTCTAAAGAATTTTAGAGGTTGGCTGCCCACCTAAAACTCTAACCACCAACTTCATAATGCATCCTCTCTCTGTTCTTGCAGAGCCTCTCTCTCTAACTTTCTCTCTCTTAGGAATGTCAAAATTTTGACTTCTATGTATACCTATAATAATTAAATTACTAAATAAATAATAATTTCATTATCCTAAATATAAATTTACATAATTTGTGACCATAAATAAAAAAAATGAATTGAACTTTATTATAAGCTTAATTTATTTGTAAGAGAAAAAAAACATACATGTTGATTCTAAAATTTGGCACAACACCGCATGTGGTGACGTACAGTGATCGGACTTCCCTACTCCACCTCCTCTGGTTGGATCCTTAGCATTGTTTGGGACAAATCCTTAGCATTGTTTGGGACAGATCCTTAACACTATTCTTCTGATGTCACTAGTACTGTTCGAGATGGATCCCTAGCAATATTCTAACCTGTAACGAAAATGGTAGATGGCCTCAGAGCGAGGGAGACATCAGTTGGTGAGCTAATGAGTTTGATATTTTAGAGTATTTTTATATCCGGGCACTGCTCAAATACAACTCAAAACCCAGAGGTAACTTGAGTATAAAGTTGTACTAGTCATATGACATATATCAAGCCCTTATAGGTGGGTAGAGCCTCCAGTGGGAATTGCGGAGGAGAAGTCATGGTTTTTCTCACGGATGCTAAAAGTTTTACTATCACATGAGCTGAATTTGCTCAAAGAAGAAGATTGTTCTTAAAATGCATCATATCTCGTAACACGTTCTCAATTCTTAACAAGAGAAGAATCTTGAACCTTTCATCTATATAGTTTTTTGTGGTACGTGGGTGCTTTGGGTTCATCTAAAATAATAGAGTTAATCTAGGACCTCTGAGATTTATTTTCAATTCCATTTTCGTCATAGTTTTGAAAATGTCTTATATTTGGTTCAAAATCTATTGTTTTGTTTCAGTTTCGATTCTTTTATTAGCTGAATGGTAAATATAGAATATGTGAAAATTAAGACTAAAATTAAAAACGGCTAAAGTTTAGAGACTAATAGTGCAAAAAACAAAACTTAACGTCCATAAATAGTCGCTAAAATGTTTTATGTTTTCAATTTTAATTCTTAATTTTTAAAGATTCTATTAAATATTTAACACATTCAATGGTCGAATCAGGTGCTCGGCCTGTTTAGTTTTGTACTCAGACCAAGTGCTTAGTCTGTGGTTAGACCCGGTGGTCAAGCCGGGTGTTCAGCCTGTTTGGCCTAGTGCTCAGCCTGTGGTCGGACTTGGTGGTCAAACTAGGTGTTCGCCCAATTTGGCCTAGTGCTTGGACCAGGTGTTCGGTTTGTTCGGCCTAAGTGCTTAGTTATCTGGGTCGAACCGGTGTTCGAACTAGGTGCTCAACCTGTTCTTTTGTCATGAAATGACCATCCCGCAACAATATAAAGGTAGATAAGCGAAGGTAAAAAAGAGAGACAAGATTTAAGAAATGTTAGTTTTAGTTTAAATTTTTTGGTTTCGCTCTCTTGAATTTTTTGGACTCTTAACATTGTATGGAAAAATAAGTTAGGTAAGAATTAAATGAGAGATTACAACTTACTAGTTTCTAAGTACCGTTATTTTTTTTTTTGGCAAAATACATAATGTAACATTTTTTATCGGTGCTTTTGAAGCAGATAACATAATATCAAACTTAATAAATTATAGCATATTATTAATTTTAATAGTTTGCTTCCCAAATTTACCCTTAAGATTTTTTCCCTTCCTTTTTTCTCTTCCTATTTTCTCTCTCTCTTCTCTCATGACCCCTCTCTTTCTCTCTTTCCAAAAATCTCTTTCTCTCTTTCGCTTTTTGATTCTCTCTCCTTAGTCCCCTCTACGACCCTCTCTCTCCTTCGTGACCCTTTCTCCTCCACCAGTTGCTCTCTTCTCCGCAAGTCCCTCTCTCTTCCGCGACCCTC